TATTGTATTGTATTGTATTGTATTGTAGTTATCATGGTCATTTTTGACGAAAAAAATACTAGCTTTCGTATTGGTCGCAAGAGGCACGTGATGATATTGCCATAACAAACTATGCACGCGCACCAATGAATGCGCGCTCTGAAGTAACGTATTACGCGTAGTTTATACGCGCTTTCTATCTTGATAATTTTCAAATGACGTAAATGATTTTTTTCAGTTGAACACACCTATTTAATTTTGTAATTTTTGAACCTTAATTAAATTTACTTACAATGCATTCATAATGTTTAATTATTGGTGTACTTACATAGGCCTATATCCGAAATCGCTAAATCATTTTGCTAATATTGTTCTGCATGGTAATTTATGTTTAAATTTGATTTTAATGCAATCCTTTTAGTTTTCTGCTACCCACTTTGTATGTGTTCTTTATACACCCTAAATAAAATAAAATAAATGTCGAAGGCGCTACTTATAATACACAAAAATATATTAGTAGATAGAACCCCAATCAGGTTTGCAATTTGAATAGCCATGCAGGAAATCATGGGGGTAGTAATTTTGTCTAACTTCACTTTTTAATAATACTGCCACCTAAATTTAATTTTAAAAAAGAATGAGTGTATTTTAATTAGGAAGAAAACGAATATTAAGGCCATACACAAAAATGTATTAGTAGATAGAAACTCGCCACCTAGCAAAGCTCCCATTGCAATCTCTCCGCCTAAAAACTTCCCCCTTGACACACTCGTGCTCGACTGTACAAATTCGCCCCCCCCCCCCCCAACAAACTTTCCTATACAAGCCTCATCAGATTTGCAATTTGAGTAGCTATGCTATAAATTATGGGGTGCGGGAATCATTTTGTCGAATTATTTTTTAATATCCTGCCATCTAAATTTAATTTAAAAAAAGAATTAGTATATTTTAATTAGGAAGAAAACAAATGTTAAAAGAAAAAAGAATTGGAAGGACAGTACAAAAAAAATTAAAGAAAGAAAGGTTAAAAACTTAACCTAACAAAAAAGGAAAGGAAAAGAAAAAGATTGCAAAGTATATTTCTTAGGAAAGGATAACAACATGTTTCTTTTTAATTTTCATATGGAAGAAATGTTATTGTACTAAGAAATCGAGCACTGTTTCTACCATAATTTTATTATTTATTTATATTATATACAGTGCTACGCAGCAACATGAATTCTAGTGTAATTAGTATAGTATAGGTATCTTTACTCTATTACAAGTATATGTGATTATGGAGCGGTCACCCCTCTTTTGTTTTTAGTTCGGCTTGGTGCCGGTGGACTGTTGAGGGAGAGTTTAATGATAGTTTTAAAAAGTTGTGAATTAACAATCAATAAACTGAAACTTAAAATTAGAAATTGAAATCAAAGTAAAAAAATATATTTACCTGCAGTTATTTATAGTAAAAAGTTCATATAAATAATTCCAATAATATCGATAAATTTTCAGAGACAAATTAATAAGCTGTTCAGTTTGCGATCAAGATGTGAAGTATGGTAAAGTGCGCGACCGCAGTTACCATGGTGTAATTCATGACGAAAAAGACTATTACAGAGGCACGTGATGATATAGCCATAACAACCTCGGCACGCACCAATGATTACCGTACTCGCGCGAATAAGCGCCTCGTTTGAATAAGCGCCCCTCTCGAATAACCGCCCCTCATAAGATTTTCTTTTTAGCAAGTCAATAATCCAATCAATCCTGGGACTGTGGTTGTTGGCATGATTTGAGCTGTAGAGTGGAAACACATTCTTCTTAGGTCAATATCAAAATGTAGATATTTCTCTTGGACAGATGAGAGCTCCGATCCCTGGACAGACAGTATATTTCCAACTTTACTCTTTTTACATATTTGTCTATGCCTAGTCCTACTCCTCTTTCTCTTTTTCCGACCTTTAGCACATTCTCATCTAGTTTTCAAGAAAAAATACAATGATCCTGCCATCCTGCTAATCTCAATCGGCCGATGGCCAACAAGCTAACCACTAGCATCTGACGCATTCTTGTAATGAGCCATTTTCTCTGGACGATTATCTTTTCTAACCACCATTCGTGATGTCCTTATATAATCTTTTTTCATTCAAAAAGTGACTCTTGAAATTTTCCATAAGAACCCCTCGATTTTCATCTATTTCCATAAGCATAATAATTTCCCCTCTGTTTTCATAAGCGCCCCGTTTAAAAAAGCGCCCCGTTTGAATAAGCGCCCCTCGGAAAGTGCAAAAAAATATTTTAAGCGCCCGGGCGCTTATTCGCGCGAGTACGGTACGTGCTCTCGAAGTATAGTGTAAAAAACGCCGTAAAACCTTGAATTGAAGTCCAATGGGCTTAATCTCCAGAATAAGCCCATTTCGGATTGAAGTCCCCTCTTTAGTTTGCAAAAGTAGCCTCGAAAAGAAACCCATCTCGAAAAGAAGCCCATGGGTTTCTTTTTAAGATAGCATGGGCTTCTTTTCGAGATCGTACAGTACATCACTGTACATTAACTTTAAAGAAACCAAAATTCGTAGTTTTGATAATTATTTAATACCGGTTAATACACTCCATGATACAGATTGGTGTTACAGCGGTCCTATTTTTTGTTTTATAGTAGTAAAACCAAAATTTACAGCATTCATTTTGAAAAGAAGCCCTTCTAGTTACTTTGCAAAATTATCCTCGAAAAATATCACATCTTGAAAAGGAGCCCATCCAAAGTTTTCGCGAAAACAAAGAAGCCCAGGGTTTCAATTCGAGGTTTTACGGTAGTTTATATTTGTATCAAAAATGTATTTAGTCATTATTTTTATATTGATTGTAATGCGAATGAATATAAAAAATCCGTGAGGGATACAATTTTATCAAGTATAGTATTTGTTTATTTACCACCAAATATCTGGTCAATAAACTGAAGAATAAATAATTTAAGTGATTTGTTTTCGTTCTGTGACTTATTAAAAGTACTGTTTGCAATGGCCGGCGGAACCGCGGGGTGGGGGGAAACTTTTGGCAGAAAATATGTCCCTGTTGATTTTGTATGATCGGCTCAATCACAATTCATATTCCCATTCATCTTACTATTGGTTCCCTCACTTCGAAAAACGTTTAGCCGGTTTAGTTTTTTTTTCATCCGATTTTGAAACTTTCAACCAACCCTTCGATTGGAGTTTTTGTCCACCCATTTCGGCGGTTTTGCATATTCCACGCGAAAACTCCAAAATCGGAGTTTCAAAACTTTTAATTCAACAAATTCTCTTTATATATATATATATAGAGAGAGAGAGAGAGAGAGAGAGAGAGAAAGAGAGAGAGCAAAACCTAATCAATCATTTTCAAAAGAAGCCCCTCTTTTCTTTACAAAAGTATTTTCGAAAGTAAGCCATCTAAAGGTGGCAAAAAAAGAAGCCCAGGCCTTCTATTCGAGGTTTTACGGTACTGTATATCATTTTGTCACAGAAGATGTTACAGTGCGGACAGAAGGTGGTAGTGTGGGGGTCATCTTAAACACTCGACATATAAAAATCTTCCAAAATCTTCTCAAACTAGGAGGTCGTCTTATACCTGTATCGCATACTAGGCGAGAATATACGGTATGCTCCTGAATCTACTGATATAATTCGAAGAAACAGAAGAAAAAAAAAACACACAGAGCAGGAAGGTCTTTATATCTTCAGCTTTTATTCACATTACAAACAATGCATAAATTATATATACAGGTAACTAACTACTGTCAACATACCTAGTACAGTAGTTAGTGGATACATTTGCGTCACATACGATGCAATCACAAGTTTAAGTCAGACCGGAATGCGCGTGTATACCTTGTCGGCTTGTTATTCTCGTTTGTACAATGTGTCTATAGTTTCAATTCATTTTAATACTGTACTTCAAATATAAAGGTCCACCATTAGTCATATCGGATTTTAATGTGCGGCCCAAACACACTGCCTCGACACAACTCTGTGGTGAATGCAACACTGACAGAGGCACGTAACAAATCGTTTTTATGACAATTCGCTTTTAGTCTGTTATCAACAATCAACATACGGTGCTATGTTGTCAAGTGCTCAAAGAGGGAAAACAGAATGTTTTGTCAGCCGATCGTCGTTCGTCACAATAAGTGACCAGTTATTTGTAGATTTAAATGATCAAGACTATCTTTGGATGGAATTCATACCCACCTCTCACAAAAGAAACTCAGTGGCGTATCTAGTGGGTGCACATGGGCTCCCAAAAAAAAGCTTGTGCACCCCATTCCCCTCCCAACTGGAAATTTTTTAAGCAAAAAAATTATGCTACAGTAGTTAAAAATCACCTAATACCACCTTAATTTGCCACGTAGTGCCACCTCACATTATCATCGAGCTCCCAACTTCACCTTTGCATCCCCAATTTCAGTAACTCTAGATACGCCACTGATAAAACTATCTTGGGCTAGTCGGCCTATTAGTTCTTTGCCTACGGTACCAGACAATGGTGTACACAATTAAGTAGTGAATGTTCACGCAATTAGGAAAGTAGCAAGACCCTTCTTCCCATTGGCCGTTTGCTGATATGCCATTCTGTATCACCCTTTCTAAACTTCTCATTAAAGGATGAAACAAAACCTTTCTGAAGGTCGAAACCTGCCTTGGTCATTAAAAAATGTAACTAAAAAGTATAGCACGAGAATTTCAAGGTGTCGGGGAGTACACATGCAAAAACCGGTTTGACAAAAACCTATTTCATTGTTTGTTTACTGTATGTAAATATATACAAAGCCATAATAGCCTACATCTACTACAGCTATTCCATGTAAACGATTTCTGTAATTATATTATGTTCATCATTGACTATTAACCATACTTTCTCTCATGCCAAGATTCTCCTTAAAAAAAACACACAAATAAAACCTTCATTAAGTGAATGAAGAATAGTTTCTGAAACATTTTGCTTTATGTGACAATTGTTGATACAAGGACTTCAATTTTGACATCCATGGGTGAAGAACTTTATTCATGTGATCTGTCCCTATCCAGGAGCATAGATTACTAACTTCAATAACATTAAATGTCGCCCTCTTACAACAGGAGGCAAAATACGTAAATGTAATGTAAAACATCTAGAAATGTATGCTATATAAAAATGATACCATCATCTTATCATAGTTATTACTTTACTTACTATCATATTTTAATTTATTAATATTAACAATAACCTTATCATTTATTTCATATCTGTGTTTGAGTCCAGAACTGGATGCAGATGTTCCTGATTTCAAGTTGGTCTGGACTTTCTGAACATCCACCATGTTGACTGACTGGAGAGGCTGTCTAGCAGACATCCTTGCCTGTTTCATTGGAGGTTGAGACAACGGAAAAACGGCAGCTGACACCGAGGGCGCTGTTTCTATTACTGTCAAGGAAGCAGGATGACTACCAGAAATCTTCAAAAGAATAATCAAACATTGGGTGGACATTAAATAATAAATTATTACAAAAGCAATCAAGATAAAGTAAATTTTTCAAAATTCGATGAACTTACTGCTTGTTCTAACTCTGCAGGTGTGTCAGAAATGCCACTTTTTTTTGTAAGCTGTTCGATCAAACCCTGTTCAAAAAGAAAAGGTAAATTGAATCTTTACAAAGGGTAGTCTTATGTCTAATGCTATTACCTTAGTGACTAGGAAAACTGGCAGACATCTTGAAAATAAATAGTGTATCTAAAATTTGAATACAATGCATTTTATTTTACTGATTATTACATGAACAACACTGGAAGCAACTATAAGCATGTGCCAGCAACATTTAAGCCATTAAAGCATGTAGATCCTTTGACCAGGGGAAACACAGCACTTTCATACCTACCAAGTCTCCTGCATTTGGCGGGAGACTCCCGCTTTTCGCCCTAACCTCCAGCTCTCCCGCCACTAGCCTAAAATCTCCAGCTTTTCTAATAATCTCAAGATTTTTTATAAAAACCCACAATTTAATACAAAAATATCCAAAACGTGACAATTCTGTAGTTTTATAAGGCATATAAAATCTCTGAAAGTTCTATCGCTTCGCGAAAATACATGCCGTTCCAATAGTAAACAATGTATTCGTGTAAAATTAACACTGGTGGCGCTGTACACATTACGTCATTTCTATTTTAAAGAAAGCTAAGGGTGCAACTTGGGCATACAACCAGTTACATTCATCAAAAGAGAGCAAATGATGCTTCAGCCTCTCTTTTACACAGATCTCCTCTTCTGTTTAACTTGTTTTACCAAAAGAATTGTTTGTCAAATGTAAAACGTATATTTGAGTATTTTGAAAATTTTGTTGAAAAAAATAAATAAAGTTAAGAGTTTTGACACTGAAATAAAGCTATAGAATTTTATTTTTCAAAAAATGTTAGTATATATTACCCCATTTTTAAGATTTAATTTGAGCACTAGAGATCTGCTCAGAGTGCACCAGAGAGCATCTAGGCCTAAAAATTTCCGGGGCCCTAGGCGGGCCCTCAAACCACGCCTAAATTGTTTCATTCCTGTGCAAATCTCCATCCACAGCCAAACTCAAACTTGGCATGTATGCACTTTGTAACCTGAAGGCACTTTGTAAATACCAAATAACAAATGAAACTAAATAACAATTAACAATAAGTCTCTATGCAGGCCTTGTGCTAGTGATCGCTACCCACAGTCTTGTCCTTGAAGTCTATTCTGATTCTACCCATATTTCAATAAAATTGAGGTCCAATGTTTCATTAGCAAACTCTCAAAATAACATCATCTTAAAAAATAACACTGGATACCAATTGGTCAAATTCTACCAAGGTTCACAGCAAGTGATTGAAGGGACTATTACATAAAGTGTTTTAAGCTTGGCAGGCCATTGCTCAAGTCTTCCACTGTTTAGTTGTGCCGGACACTCACTGCGACATGCGACGGTTGTACGACAGTCGCACGATGAATCTAACTCCACTCCCTGTGAGCGCAAGACGATGCAACGCCGTCTGCTAATTGTTGGTGGTCGTCTGAACGAATCATCATAAAAAAATTATCGTCGTCGTGTTGCATTCAGTCAGGTGTAGTGAGTGCCTGGCTTTAGTTTCACTTTGAGTGTGGTCACAAGCAATGTTACTGGGTAACACAGCATTAACCACAAATGTGAACACAGACCAGGACAACATAATAAAGACATACCTTTGCCTTTGATATTGCACTCAAACTTTTTGGCGAATGCACCCGGACTGATGAAAGCTGACTAATCAGAGCCTGCAGTTGACTTGCGCTAAAGTCACACGTACCAGAGTTCGTTGAACTTGCCAATTTATCTATATAAAAAAGTTCATATATATTTACGTATATTTTGTATCTTATAAGCATTTACAGGTTTCAAATTTATATTTGAAAGTGCATTATTGTTATTATCATAACTCATTGTTTAGAATCCAGAATCTTGTTAGGCGTGTTTGTTTTGTGAGGAAACACTGTTTTTTAATCATTACATCTTGATTATTATATTATTACAATACATGTTAGTTGACGTTACACATAAAGTTATGTACATATACCATACATAGTTCTTAAACCCACAAGGAGCACAAGTAGAGTTAAGTGATCAGCTGACCAGGATATAATCTGGAGGCTGCTACAATCACCATCATCATCTTTACGTTGTTATAATCACGTATAATCATTATGTGAAATTGTACTTGGTTCCTGCAACAGCTTACCTTGCGTCTTGTTCCTTAGGAACGGGTGCTTCAGAAGTGTCTCAATGGACGGACGTTTTTTGGGGTTACGAATCAGACATTTCTAATACAAACAAATATGTAAATTTAATTAAGACAGCCTGTCACATGACGCAGATTGTGTTCAACAACTAGAACACCTACATCACTCAATCCCCTACATTACGTTCAACCGCAGGATAGGGAGAGACTGTCTCTTATACACATCTAGATGTGTATAAGAGCCAGATATTATACTGAG